ATACTTTCAGGAGCCCTTCGCTGCTGCTTTTCATGTTCTTCCAGTCTAAGAACCATTAGGGAAGCCCTGCTGCTCTAGCACCCTAAGGACATGTAAGAGGATGCGGGCAGGCAGTGGAGAAGCAGAGCTGCTGTTTATGTGGAGCAGGCGGGCCTAGATCTCGGACTAACAATCAGCAGGATATCTTAATTACAAGCATTCCGAAGTCATGCCAGGTGGAGCGCTCAGTGTTTGCCCACTCGCTTTTCTTGCTCTTTAAAAAATACAACTTGGGAAAGTCACAAACACATGCAGGTAGGCTCTTATTTCAGGATCTGCTATCTTCCCATTGGGAGGGTTGGGAGAGAGTTGGCACCTAAATATAGGTCAAATCTCCACCCTAGGAGTGGTCTAGAATTCCTAGGAAGGACAGGTGCAAGGATGGCAATCTAGAGGACTTCCCTTGAAACTCCGTCTGCTAATACACAGGTGATGTTTGGAGTCCGTGTTTGCCGTGGTCACTGTACTGCTGATGCAGATGCTCAAGGGCTGGGGTCCCCCCTCACTTCGGATTCTGACAACCATGGCTCCCACCTCTCATTCCCCACGCCTTTAGCAGCCTTTACTACATATTCTAAGGTAATGTCTTCAACAGAGATAACATATTAGAATAAATTGTTAGTAGTGTAGGAAATGAGGGTGTTTATCTGCCTAGAATGATGCCTGGCACAACTGTTGCTCAAAAACATTTGTTGAATAAATGTATGATTTTATGGAAGCTACTCAGGTCAAAGCCCTGGAAAAGAAGCCATCATCAGAATAATTGATTTCTATTTTTAGGGTTTAAGTTAATCATTCAAAACATTTAGAATGACCCCCTTCCCCTGACTGAAGCAATGATGTGATCTCTGTATAGAATATAGAAATTGGTTAGCAATATGCAACAACACTTGGCAAGACTTCCCGCTCTCTTCCAATATTTCTACAATTCTATTCTGCCCATCGTCCTGTAAGAATAGAACTCCCAATTTTAGTTGGATACATGGATTTGCAGATAAAGATTATATTTCTCAACTCCCATCCCTTCTGCAGCTAGCTATAGGTATGTCACTAAGTTCTTGCCAATGGGATGTGAACAGAAGTAATATTTATAACTTCTAGGTTATGCACTTAAAGGCAAGGAGTGTGGCCTTCTCTTCCTTTTCCCCTCCCCACTAGCTGGGATGCAAATGTGATGGTAGGTGCTGGAGCAGCCATCCTAGACTGTGAGTTGAAAGCTGTCTGTTGAGGATGATAGAGCAAAAGATAGAAGCAGCCTGTGCCTCTGACACCATCAAGCCTCCCTTCAAGCCTTAGACTGCTTGTACTCAAACTGTTACTTGAGAGAGAAATAAAATTGTATCTTGTCCAAACCATTGTGTTTTGGAATGCCTCTGTTACTTTAGCCTAGTCTATATTTTAACAAATATTAACACCATGCTACATTAGGAAAGAAAGCTGTAAAGAAAACTCCATTAATTTGAAACAAAAACGAGTAGAGCAGAATCAATTATTGAGATATTAATTGGTTCTTGTATTTTGCCTCTTCTGGTTCAACTACCACTTTCAGAACCAGTTCGTACTGTCGTTGACTCACGAAGGAAATGTCTTCCTGATCTCTAGAGCTGTGGTATTAGCTGGTGACACTATTAGCAAGTGTGAAATCCAATCCACCGCCTGGGAGCTAAGAATGGTTTTTACATTTTAAATGGTAGGAAAAAAAATCAAAAGAGGGTTTCATGGCATGTTAAAATTATATGAAATTCAAATTTCGGTGTCTATAAATAATGTTGTATTGGAATACAGCCACATTCATTCCTTTAAATATTGTTCATAGCTGCTTTCTCCCAGCGCTGAGTCATTACAACAGAAACCGTATGGCCCACAAAGCCAAAATGTGTACTACACGACTTTTCCAGAAAAAGTTTGCTGCCCCTTCCCTATAATACTTTTCCTGTTGTTTTTAGTGAAAGATGGATACATATTTGAATTGATTCCTTTCACTTTGAAGTTTCAAGTTACAGGATCATATTTATGCATCTAGAAATTTTCTCAAATAGCTTTCTTTTAATCATGAAGAATATTTGATTAACTGATAAAGAACTTGAAAAGTAGCAGTGGCTAAATTGCATTGTTAGTATTTCTGTGAACAATATTTCATAGATTTTGATGACTGAGTCTGCAGTCCCACATTTAGCGTCACTATTGGTGAGAGCAGGCCCGGTTGTGCAATAGCATCTTGACAATGTTTCCTGTGCCATCTCCTCAACTACATTGCCACCGCCGTTATTGTAGTTCAGTTCCTTATTAATTCCAGACCAAACTTTTACAGTAACGTCCTAATTGGTTTTCCTGCATCCAATCTCTTCTCCCATCCATCCTCTGTCACCAGAGGGACCTCTTTTTTTTTTTTTTTTTTTTAAAGTACATAGCTAATTCCAATATCTGGCTACATGACCCATTTAAAAACTTTCATTTTGTCCATTGCTAACAGAATAAAATCCAAACTCCTTCAGCTGGCATTCATGATTCTCCATCATATATTCTTACGCTATACTCTGTCCAGATGGAATTATTCTGTTTTCCCAATACACCTCTGTAGGACAGGCCTGTTCTCTGGTCCAGCCTCTGTGCCTCTGTTCATACCATGATCTCTTGCCTCCAAACCTAACCCTTCTCTCCATCTCTATATATTCAAATGCTGTTTATTTTTTAAGGCCTAATTCCAATGCCAACTCTTTCATGAAGACTTCTCTGACTCCCCTACCCCAAGCCCAATAAGTATTGTGGACACCTATAGCTTTTTTCTTGCTTGGCATCATTCATTCACCATTCTTCTAGAAGGACTACATCAATTTTACTTTGGGGATGAATGCAATCTTGATGGGACTATAACTCAAAATGCTCCACCCTTCATGAGGGGACAGAGATGTGACATTCACTGCGCCAATCAGAAGTGCTCCCTCTTGGGCTTGCTCTAGCCCTCCTTCTAGCTCTCTCTCTGCAATTTGGTTCTGCAGCATGCGAGCATGGACAGGGCTGGCGCTCTTTCATGCCCTGAAGCATCCATCCGTTCTCTCTGCTCACGGACCCTGTAGCTGCTCTGCTCCAGTCCTTGCAGTGTTGGTTTCTTTGGCCTACCTTTTGATTTTATGAAGAACTCCATAACCGTCCAGTGAACTCTTTTGTAAAATTAGCCACTGCCGCTTTCTACTGTTTGCAACCAAAGGCACTGACTGAGAGGAGTGGTGACCATTCCTTCTTCCAAACCCTCATAATACTTTACCTGTACATTTCTTAGGGCCCCTAACATTGTCTACCTTGTATAATAATTATCTGTGTCATTGTTTTCTTGTCTTACACAATGGCAGTTCCAGAATTCTGTATACAGGGAGCAATTGGTGTCGAAGAAGGAGAGTAGAAGGAACTTATCTTGAATTCTTATTTGAATGATAACTAGTTTCTTTTTATTTAGATTGTATTTTTAAAATCCATAAAAAAGCCCATTCTCTTTTCTAGTGGGATGTGTTTCTTCAGAGATGAAATCACTATATAGTCACTTATTTCCTAACCTACTATAAGCGTAGGACCAAAAATGTTCATCTTTCTCTTGTGTCACTTTGCGTTTCTGCCTCTTCTTTACTTTTGCCTCCAGCTATAATTCGGTTTACTTCTAAAACTTACCATCAACCCAGGGCTTTCTCTCATTGGTACTATTGTTTTTATTTTTCCCACTATTTTTTTCTGTGTCTTCTGATATTTGAACTATCCTTCAAAAATAACAACCCATTATTGTTGAACTTTTGTCCAAAGTTCCTAAAGCTTAGAAATATTAGTCATATTCAGCAAATATTTGTGAGTCATAGAGTCATAGAATCTTAATAACATCAAATTAAAAGGGAAAGAATCCACTGAACTAGCATTTAATTAATTCTGCTTTTTAAACCCAGAAATCAGGCACCTCTGATGTATCACTAGCATCCAATGGAAACTAAAGTCCTAGAGTGAAATTAAGCCAGAAGTTAATATATTTTTCTGCTTCTGAAAGACCCAAATTCTTATGTTGCTTGTGGAAAGGAAGTAGAATGGAATCAGGAGAAGAATCTGATAAAAAAATTATGCACTCTGGAAAAATGTATATAAGTGTCTGTTCGCAGCATCTCGCCTACAATTCCAGGAGTGTCACTGTTACTTGAAGGCCATCTGTGGACTATTAAGAATCCCCAGACCCCAGACTGAAGAACCCTGGATTTGCATTTTCTTGAAATCTTTAGAGTGAATTTCATTCCTAATTAGTATGTTTAATGACAGCACTCAACATGTCATCACATCTAAATAGAAGAACTACTTCCCAAAAGAGGGAAAAAGTAGTAAGGAAATGTCATTAACAATCAAAGAAATATAAACTAAAACACTGATACCATTTTGCACATTTTTGGCAGTGAAACGTGTTTCAAATTCCATTCAGGTTGATGAGGGAGCAGCCTCAGTGAGCTCTGGAAGCCTTTCTGTCAGTACTGTAAATGCTTTGCAAAAATCATGCAATCGTTTACTCCTTTTGATCCACAATTTCCACTTCTAGAAATTTATCCTAAGAAATTACTTCAACCAAATCAATATCAATGTGCACAAATATATTCATTATATCATATGTATGAAAGCAAAGATATGTCCAACTTTAGGGATAAGCCTTAATAAATTAAATTCAACACTGTAATTATGAAGACTCTGTAGAACCGGACAAAATTATTTATTAGTTAATGACAAGTTATTTTATCTTGTCACATTGCTGTATCTTTAATTTTTTTGTAACAAATTGAGATATAAGTACCTACCCAAATAAATAATAACTTTCCAAGTCACAGTAGCAAAATGGGAAATATCATGACTATCCTATTGCTACATTATAGAAATATGTACATTTGGAAGGTCATACAATAGTCTGCCCTTATCCGTGGTTTTGCTTTCTGTGGTTTCAGTTACCCGTAGTCAACTTCCGTCTGAAAATATTAAGCGGAAAATTCCAGAAATAAACAATTCATAAGTTTTAAATTGCCCCTGGTTCTGAGTAGCCTGATGAAATCTCACCCCTTCTCACTCCATCCCGCCCAGGACATGAATCATCGCTTCGTCCAGCGGATCCACTCTGTACACGCTACCATGGTAGTCACTTAGCTGTCTCAGTTGTGAGATCGTAGTATCGAAGTGTTTGTGTTCAAGTCACCCTTATTTTTCTTAATAATGGCCCCAGAGCACAAGAGTAGTGATGCTGGCAATTCGGATACGCCAACGAGAAGCCTCAAAGTGCTTCCTTTAAGTGAAAAGGTGAAATTCTCAACTTAAGAAAGAAAGAAAAATGGGCCGGCCCCGTGGCTTAGCGGTTAAGTGCGCGAGCTCCGCTACTGGCGACCGGGCTTCCGATGCCGGGCGCGCATCAACACACTGCTTGTCCGGCCATGCCGAGGCGGCGTCCCACATACAGCAACTAGAAGGATGTGCAACTATGACATACAACTATCTACTGGGGCTTTGGGGAGAAAAAGGGGGAAAAGAAAAAAGGAGGAGGATTGGCAATAGATGTTAGCTCAGAGCCGGTCTTCCTCAGCAAAAAGAGGAGGATTAGCATGGATGTTAGCTCAGGGCTGATCTTCCTCACAAAAAAGAAAGAAAGAAAGAAAGAAAAAAAAATTTGCTGAGGTTGCTAATATCTACAGTAACTTTTAGTACAGTATATTGTTATAATTGTTCTATTTTGTTATTATAGTTGTTAATCTCTTACTGTGCCTAATTTATAAATTAGACTTTATCATAGGTATACATGTACAGGAAAAAACACAGTATATATAGGGTTTGGTACTATCTGTGGTTTCAGACATCCACTGGGGGTCTTGGAACGTATCCCCCATGAATAAGGGAGGACTACTGTATACACATACTGAATTCAGCAACATTAATGGAGGACCTACTATGAATCACACACTCTGCTAGGCTAGGAGGGTGCTAGACTGGGACAGAAGCTATTGACTATTCACCAAAATCTGCACCCACTTTTTCTTAGGTGCAGAGCTAGACTCCACTTGCAGTCAGATAGCCAAGTGCCTGAGTGCCAGCCAATGGAATGGGGACAGCCATGGGTGCCACTCCAGGCCTAGCCCATCATGCTCTCCTCCTCTCCCTCCTCTGTACTCTTTCTCCCTTCTAGCTGGCTGTGACAGAGAGAACTGTGGTGACCATAGAAGCCAAAGTTGGAAGATGGCAGAGCTCTGTCAACCTGGTACCCTGAATCAGTGCATAGAGAAGAGCCACTGCCCCTCTGTCCATCCTCAGGACTCTGACATGAGCAAGAAACAAACCTCCACTGTGTTGAGCCATACTTGTTTGCGTCTAGTCATCGCTGCAGCCTTGCCTAGGCTAACCAGACATAGAATTAGACGTGAGTTTCTAAATAATTATTTTAAATTTCTTATTTGAGCTTGTTATACGCTATCTATTAAAAAAGTTGAGGGCCGGCCCGTGGCTTAGCGGTTAAGTGCCCGTGCTCCACTGCTGGCGGCCCGGGTTCGTATCCCGGGCTCACACCGACGCACCGCTTCTCCGGCCATGCTGAGGCCGTGTCCCACATACAGCAACTAGAAGGATGTGCAGCTATGACCTACAACTATCTACTGGGGCTTTGGGGAAAAATAAAGAAATAAATAAAATTATAAAAAAATAAATAAAATAAAAAATAAAAAAGTTGAAATCATATGATCAAGCCAACTTTTTTTTTCTTTCCTTTCTTTCTTTTTTTTTCTTTGCTTATTTGCTAAAATATTATTGGGCCTACCCAATAATAGTCTAAAAAATAGACCATCTTTATTTCTTACTTATTGATAAAGATGATGAGAAGTAACAAAAAATCTAGTTAATTTTATTATTTGCTAATTATAATTTCTCCAATTATACTTCTCATCTGAGATTCCACGTCTCATACTTCAGCCCAAAGCAGATTTTTTTTATCTCTGTACAAACTTTCAAAAGAAAAACAATGTTTTTTCCACAAATTGGAATACTACAGTGGTATCAGCTATGTTCAAAACATTTGCTTTTATTTTCATATAACATCCACAATAATCATGTGGGAAAAATTAAATGTGCCAGTTTAATTTCATAATCTACAGGAAAAAACTTGCTTAGAATATTACATATACAATTAGAAACCAAGTGCCGACAGAGACATCTGCATATTGATATCTAGGTATATTTAGCAGGGGAAAGTCTTTAATACAAGAAAAGAATTTCACAAATTGGAATGAATACTCAGCACCGAAAGTAGCATATGCGTAATTCCATTCCTAGTACAAATGTTTAAGACATTTTTTCATCCATGTGTTTCAGACTTTCTTCACTTCTTTTATATTTCAGTCTGTCTTAGAGAGTATGAGTTAAGGTTTTCATCATAAATAATCTTTTGTTCAAGTGAAAAGAATTCGTCTTATTTCAGCCACAAGATTCTGAAAACCTCCTCATCACAAACTCTGTCTTTATGTCAGCAGGGTGCCATCGGCCCTAACAGTCATTTTCTATTTCTTTCTAAATATAAACACAAGAATTTGGTGCACAGAGCACCTCGCCCACAATTGGACTGCAGTGGGTATCCCCAGATCTTAGAGACACCTGAAAGCCTCGGAGCTGCTGCTCATCCTCACAGAGGCAGGAATTGTTAAACGGAAAGCCGACCAGAGGAGAACTCTGGTTGTGTACAAGTAATTCACTCTACAAGGAGGCCTGCCCGCTCTAAAGTTAAAATGACCACATATCCATCATCAACGGACAATACTAATCTTATCTGACTTTCAGTTTCTATAAGCCATAAAATCAGTTTGAACTTAGATCTCTATTTGTGTCCAATGGCAAATAGAAAATGCAATGTTTAAAAGTCAGTAAATAGAAGTTTAACCTCAGATATCATAATTAATAAACCGGTGGGGTTTAAAGCTACCCTAGGGGGAAAAAAGCCACACTCCAGGTTGAGAAAATGGGGCCTGAGGGGCACACCCCAATACTCTCTTCTCTGAAATGAATGTCACTCAGATTACAAACTGAAATAATAACCTACTCCACACAGGTAGATAATTTCTCTCTCGGCTGTACTTCTCATTTGCTGTTTACGGGAAGCACTTCAGAATGACTTAATATGACTTTAATGGTGGAAGGAAAAGAAGGTAGAGCTCTCAAAGAAAGGAACAAAGGAGACTGTGCGAGTGCACTGAGGCCGCCCACAGGTGCACACACATGGGCGCTGGCGGAGACGGAAGCGCTACCTCTTCATGTGATGCCCTTTGCGCTGCCTTTCAAAGGTGATGCAGGACGTGATCCCCCTCCCCCTGATATTTACGGCAATTTAAACAACTGTCCATCTGGGACTCACAAGGAATTAAAGTGAGGAAAAGTTAAGATGCACTTACAAGAAGCACTCATTAAAAATCTGAAGGGCTACTTAACTTACTGTGATGGCAACTACATCCCCCCAAGGGTGGGCAGGGGCCACCACTTAAGCAACCTCACTGTACAAATACTCGATTCAACTACTCATCCATTTATTAACTTATCCCAGCGTTGACTCAGCAGATATAGATGTGCTCCAGCTCTGTGCTGGGCGCTGGGATGACTTCAGTGAACAAGACAGGCCGGGTCCTGCCTTCATTGTGGGTCTGCACGACACTATGATTAGCTTCTGGAAATCAGTATAAATCATCATCTTATGCACTGTTTCAAAACATCATAGAAATTTATAACACTTCCTCCTTTTAATTACTTGTTCATTTGGTCAATACATATTTAGTAAAGGCTTGTTGTGGATTCACTAAGGTACATTTTGGAAAAGGCTGCTTCATTTAGTTCTTGTCTAAACTAGGTGAGGTTCAATCTGAGCCAAATGCTCCCTTGCTGGCTTCTGGAACTGGAGCACCCCAAGGAACTATATCTTTACTGGCTAGTGCCTGGCACATAGTAGACACTCCAAAAATGTTTGTTGAATGAATAAAGAAAAGACTGAATATACTTCAGGAATTATGCATTCTGCACCACTCCTTTTTTGATCCTTGAGTACCACTCACTTTGGCATTTTGTCTATCTTGTGACTATTTCACTGTTTCTTGTGAATGGCAAGCGAAAGCGAAAGGTTCTTGGGGCCAGATAGCCTATCTTCAATGTCCTCTTCTCTCCAAAAGGTTTGCAGACTACAAGGCATACAGCAGGCGCTCAGTAAAACTACAGAGAAAATTCATAAATGGAAGCGGATCGCCATTCTCACAGAAAGTCCCTGGCATTTTCATTGTGGCATTTGCCTATTCAGCCAGTTGGATATAGTCTCTCAGTCATGCCATATTTATTCTTATTTCTATGCCCTATTCCCACTGTTTTCCCCCCAACTAGACTACCCCCCACACTCCTCTGTGCAGACCTGATCCTTACCCATTCTTAAAGACCCAACCACAGAAAGATTCCTTTCTTTATAGGAGTCTTCCCTGAGTTATACCACACCCCCACCCAGGACCTATTGTCTATACTACATATCATTTACCGCGTGACATCTTTTGTATTGTTGCATTATTTTGTGGTTATCTTTCTTTGCATGCATATCTCAGGGTCAGTGTACTGAGGATGCTGCTTGCCCCTCTAGAACCATCCTCTATCCTTCTCCATCCTGCCCTGTACACTGACCTTCGTGGATTACGTCAGTGGGCTCCTTTGTTCTCTGGTTTGGGGTTGAGTTTAACCAATGACAGTCACCAGCAGGGAGTCAGAGGGTGCTGCCCAGTCCCCTCCCTGCGGGGACGTGTTGTGTCAGCATTCCTCTCATGAAGGCCACAGCTCCTGTCAGGTGGCTCTCTCTTACGGCTTTAGCCACAACCACAGCTACAGGTTGCCCTGGGTTCCAGTAACTGCTTCTTGCCTTTATCCCTTCAGGTGTAGGGGTGGCATTGGCTCCCCAATGTTGATAGTCCACAGTGCCTCACCATCCCTCCTGAGTTCCCTTCCCCTGCCGATACGTTTGTAAAAAGTCCCTACATTGAACTCTCCTCAATTGCCATGCGTGGGTGCACCATCTATTCCTTGCCAGGACCTTGACTGATAGGCAGCCATGTGGCTTTTGCCTCCATGTAGTCCCATGGATTATACCTCCATACGGCCCCACAGCCTCTAGCTCACTGTGGGTGCTTAGTAAGCATTTGCTGAAGGAAGGAATGAAACCAAGCATGAACTCCCATAGCTGAATTAAGACTTTATAATCTACAGAAGAAAAAAATCTCTATGAACTATAGTTCTTCAATCAATAAGAAGATTCACCTTCAGTCAGTATTTATACATAACTAAGTATAATGCTCACTATTTCTTTTGTTCTCATAGTGTTTTCAGGCTTCCATTGAATCTGTATTTACAATATTAATTAATTAATCTGTAGTAAATATAGTTCATATATTTAAACCCACTTATTCTTCTGGGGAAAATATTAGTTGGGTTAGTTGAACTGAAATTTCCATTTTTTCCTTCCTTTTCTCTTTTTCATTTATTTTTTTTAGGAGTTCCTTTACTGATGACCCAGTCATACCAGACTCTGCCCCTCCCCACTCCCAGACCTTTTTCTGAACATGTTTTTGTATATCTCAATCTGATCAGTGAAAATTAAATGTCTGACAAGCTGTCAATCTCTTCCAAAAGTCCCAGTTTTTTCACCAGCTTATCTCCTCCCTGTTCTATTGAATGTCCAAGGTGCCACCTGACATATGCCTATAACACATGGGGGAGAAAAGGAGTGTGTCAGCTCTGTGAAGTGGAGAGAAACAGACAGGTGTACAGAGATAACCTCAGGAACAGGTTAGATGACTCCCTGAGCAGTGATCTTTCTAAAGGGCAGAGACTGGCACCTCTCACGAGTTATCTCAGATAGATGCAGCCTGGGTTTCCTTCTTCAGTGGTCTTCCATAATAAACACATAGGTTCTTCTGCTTCTTTTAGACTCAGAGGATGGCCTACGACCATGAAATACATCCTCCTTGAACCATGCTTGTTTGAGTAGCACCAATATCTGATTAGCATCCTGTTAGCATAACTGTTATTGTTCACCAAAAATCATGCTACAATTAGTGAATTTCTAGCTAATAAGGTCCATGAAGAACTACTGTTCGGTACTTTGCTAGGTCAATGAGTAGCAACGCAGGTTGATTGTGGTGGGTATGCCAGGATCCCACTGTTCAAAACCTTAACAGTAGTGTAGCCAGATTGAGAGTTACAATCATCAACCTTGAGGGATTTAAAAAAAAAGGCCAAATCTTGTCAGTTAAATGACTCAGCATTTCAGTCACCATAGAATGAAACCTGTGAGGGAGATTTTGGCATCTGTGATTTCCATACCCAAAAATTCAGAGAGAAAGAAAGAAAAAACTGTCACAAACTAACTCTGAATTTTTATTTTATAAGAGAAGAAATGATTAGTGATTAGTTAGTGACAAAGAACTACATATTGACTCTCTTCTGATAATGTATCCAATATCATTTCTACTTTTTCCCAGGATGAAAGTGTGGGGTAAAGCTGGATGTGTTTTCAGAAGGCAAATATAACAATCACTATAAAATGTAGAAGGGTTTAATCCTCTCTAGCTTCTGACCTTTATTGCATTTTGAGTGTATTTGGAGTTCAGATAGTACTAGCCTACCCACTCTCTAGAGATAATAAGTAAATAATCACATGACCCAAATAAGATTTGCCCCAGAAGTAAGGGGGCAGGAGGTGGTGAGCAATAAGAAGCAGTGGCGTGGGTGGTACAGAGTTTGCGTTTTAACATCATGGCTTTCTTCATGGGTAGAGATGCTGACATCCCCCCACTCCCCATTCAGATGCTCATTTCTTCTTTACACTTATACAAATGACAACTACCTATAATTCCTATGGTCATTCTTAAGGATTAAAAAAAATCTGAATCTATTTCTTCATGACAAGTAAAATGATTTTAAAAGACAAGCAAAATAGATAAAGAAACACTTTACAATCCAAGTGACCACAAACAGTTCAGGTTAACATCAGAAGTGGGGAAGTATCAGCACAATTTTGCAGTATTGAAGAAAGTCTTTGAGTTGAATAATTGAATTAGAGACAGCTAGCATAGCTTTATGAAAGTGACACCTCATGTACCTTACTCATTGGAGTGCTTTAGAGGGCATTTACTGCTGTAGAAAGAAAATGGAACACAATGGATGTCACATTATTGTTAAAAAGCCATTGGATGTTGTTAACAATGAAGATTATTGGCTAAGACCACATCTATTGTGTAAGGTAAAATAGCTTGTTGGATTAAAAAATTGTTCAAAACCTGCAAAAAGTGAGCGAATGTTAATGGTAATTTCCTTTTTTAACTGAAGAGAGGTTATCAGTAAGGGTGAAATAATAGCTTTGAAAGGAAATGACAAATTGGAAGAATACACAATATCCAACCTCATTACATTTGACTATTGTGGTATCTTCTCCGACACCACATACTAAATTTCCAGGTATTTTTATCCCTATTATGTTTACTATCTCATAATAGCCTCCGTTTCTGAAGAAGAGATGGGAAGAAAGGGGCACGTTTAACAGAATTCTATTCAGTGAGTCGACCGCGATTAGTGGAGCACAAATTCTTTACTTTTTCCACTTAGTTATCTAAAAATTGCAAACACGTATTTTCATCTATCTGTAGAAACAACACAGCCAAATATCAATGCTATTTTACCTATATTATTTCTCCCTGTATGTACAAACTGGGCTTATAGCAAATTATTACCATGCTGTATATCTCAAACAGGTAGGCCAACATGACATTGCTGAAGGATCTGACTGATCACGTCTATCAGAAAGACTCTGCCTGTAGTACCACTTCCTCTTAGGAAGGTGACACAAGTCAGAGTGACCACAACTTTTTATTGTGTCCAATTCAATCATAAAATATGGGTAGAATCTTCAAATCTATTTCTTGTATCGTGATGGTAGTATTTTTAGGATATATAAATCTGGCATGGTAAGGAGTTTGTTTTGTTTTGACGGCTTCTAATAGAAGTCGTATTTTCTGCAATCTGTCCTAAGCAACTTCTAAAGAAAGAATAAAATAAAAACATAATCAGGGTAGATTCTACACCAGGTAAATGAGTAAAAATGCTCTCAGTTATAATCTGATTGTAAGTTCAGGTCATAGTTTAAATTAGATTTTAAAAAATTAAAAGCTTTGTGAGACACTATGAAGTCTTCAAAATTATGAAAAATTGGTATTCATATTGACACGTGTACGTGCATATGTTATTGTCTGTTAATGATGACAGCTGATGTGATAACAAGGAATTCTATAAAATTAATTTGGACACAATGGGTCCAATTTAGCAACTTGGATCTTTTAAGAATATTTTGAGTAAAGCACTTTATCTATTGTGGATAAACATTTATTACTTTACATTTTTCCAGTAAATATATTCCACTACGTGTTTTGCTGGATATAAACTCATCGAGCAATTACATTAGAGAATGGATTTCAGTGACACAGTTGCTAAAAGATGGAGGGTGTCTGATGTTAAGAGTTCAGGGTATCCCCATTGTGCTGGTGGTTACATGAATCTATACATACATTAAAAAATTCACAGAACTGTACAACAAAAAAGGTCAATTTTACTGTATGATAATTGAAACAATAAAATTAACTTTTAAAAAAGAGTTCAGAATATAACAAATGCTTTAGGTCTTTTTTGTGCTGGCCTCTGAAGGATAAAATAAAACCTATGGCATGTAATAAAAGTTTATAAATAAATAATAAATAATTGAAAGACTATAAGGAACAAGGAAAAATGTTTTAAAGTAGTACCAAAAAATATGAAAGAACTATGCAATCTAGGACTATGAGCTTTCTTAAGAGAGGTTTTCAAGGCTGGTAGATCTTTTCAGCCAGCTCTGGTGGTCCAGTGGCTAAGATTCGGTGCTCTCACAGCCAAGGCCTGGGTTTGTTTCCCAGTCAGGGAACCACACCACTCGCCTGTCAGTTGTCATACTGTGATGGCTGTGTGTTGCTGGGATGCTGAAAGCTCTGCCACTGATATTTCTTTTTTTCTTTTTATTTTTTTATCGAGATAACATTGGTTTATAACATTGTATAAACTTCAGGTGTACATCATTTATATTTCAACTTCTGTGTAGACTACATCATGTTCACCACCAAAAGTCTACTTGCCATCTGTTGTGGTACATATGTGCCCCTTTACCCCTTTCACCCTCCCCCATCCCCTTCCCCTCTGGTAACCACCAATCTGCTCTCTGTATCTATGTGTTTGTTTGTTGTTGTTGTTGTCGTTGTTTTATTTTCCACATATGAGTGAAATCATATGGTATTTGATTTTCTCCATCTGACTTATTTTGCTTAGCATAATGTCCTCAAGGTCCATCCATGTCATCTCAAATGGCATGATTTCATCTTTTTTATGGCTGAGTAGTATTCCATTGTATGTGTGTGTGTGTGTGTGTGTGTGTGTGTATATATATATATATATATATCACATTTTTTTTCTCCATTCATCCGTGAATGGGCACTTAGGTTGTTTCCAAGTCTTGGCTATTGTGAATAATGCTATAATGAACATAGCAATGCAAATATATTTTCAAATTAGTGTTTTTGTGTTCTTTGGATAAATACTCAGAAGTGGAATAGCTGGATCGTATGGTAGATCTACTTTTAACTTTTTGAGGAATCTCCATACTGTTTTCCATAGTGGCTGTACCAGTTTACATTCCCACTAGCATTGTACGAGAGTTCCCTTTTCTCCACATCCTCTCCAACATTTGTTATTTCTTGTCTTTTTAATAATAGCCATTCTGACCGGGGTGAGGTGGTATCTCATTGTGGTTTTGATTTGCATTTCCCTAATAATGATTAGTGATGTTGAACATCTTTTCGTGTGCCTATTGGCCATCTGTATATCTTCTTTGGAAAAATGTCTGTTCAGATCCTT